GTCGGACAGGGACCCAGCCCATGAAGCAGATGTTTTCTGCTCCTCAGTCTCTGAGGGAGGAAGGGGAGAGCAAACTCTTCTCGTTTTGCCTACCCTGCGCCTTCCCTTGACCTCTAGGGTGCGGTGGGGCTCGTCCATTGGGATGATTGATGTCCTGAGCTGACTTCTGCTGCTGGGAGGACTAGGCTTGCCCTACAAAGCAGGGGAGGGGTGCTGCGAGTGGAATGGGCCCAGATCGGAGTCAAGATACTTCATCATGTACAGCCATGGTCTCAAGCAAGTCTCAGCCCGTCTGAGCCACAGTTTTGTCATCAGCAGAAGGGGGATGAGAAGGCCCCCTGACTGGTCTTGTCCACCGCCCTGAGGCCAGCAGCGCTGCCCTGAGCCGCACAGCGTATTGGCACAAGGCAAGCCAGGGGCGGCTGGGCCTGTTCAGACCCCGTCCGGCATTCCACGATCTTTGAGTCTGGCTGCTGTTCTAGAGCCTTTCCTCTCGTGCAGGCGCGCTGCTTCCTGGGTTCCGAGGGTCACCTCCTCTCCCTGGGGGCACCAACCCCCATAATCCTCTTCATGGGCCGGCTGCTGATGCCCCTTCTCCGGAGACTTTCCTTGAGCTGAGGCGAGTCCCTTTACCCCCAGATGCCCAGGAGTTATCATCCCCACCCCCCAGAAGTGACCCACTGCCAGCGATGGGCCGATGCAAGAAATTCACAAGAGCCCGACCCCTTCTGCAAGGAGGGACACGCCCGCAGGGCCACACGCATGCCAGAGCTCCAGTTCAGAATTCTCTGGATAGAGCAAGAATGAGCCCCAGGGCATCCCACTTCTTGCCTCCCAGGTCAGCAGGTGGGTGCTGCGGGGGAAGCAGGGCCAGGAGCTGGTCCAGGCTCTGGCAGCTCCTCGTGCTATGACTTAGGGAGTCATGACTTGGGCTTCTTTCCTTCTTTATAGGAAGTGGGTCACAATTCCCACTTTGCTACTTCGATGTGGGAAGGTCTGAGTAGTGGCAAAGCCCCTGCAATGCCGTGTGGTACACAAGATGACCCTGTAAGCATGACCTCTCCCAGGAGGAGGAAGTCCGAGGAGGGCAGCTGGCCGAGGAGGGCAGCTGGCGGGGAGGCCAACTGGGGCAGGAACCACGCCCTCTTTGGCCTGTGGTCCCAAACGACCCGTCAGTGAAAAACTTCTGATGTCCTGCTTTCGGTTTGGAGGCCATCTTGCCTGAGCACTGGCCTGCCAAGAGGCCCCTGGGCCACGAAAGGCCCATCAGAGTCTCTGGTGGACTTTGCCACGTGGCCCCCAATCTTGTCCAGCTCACACCACTGGGCCATTGCTCCCAGTAGCCTCAGGCCACCGATCAGGAAACCCCAGGCTGAGGCAGGTGACACAGTGAGGATGATGGCAGCTCCACACAGTCAAGAGGCCCTCCTGCCCCCCATCCCCACCCCCCGCCCCAGCACATCACAGGCTTCCCTTCTAGGAGCTGCTGTGGAGGAAAGGGCTCAGAGGCCACTCGGGAAACCTTCTACTCCAGGTGCCACAGGCAGGCCACCTCACCTAAACCGGACTTGATCTAAAGGCTGAAGTTAGGCTCATGCGTATGGTTTCCAGTTCTTGGCTTTTTGTCCCTGGCTGCATTCTTTCCCATGTCACAATCCCGTGTGTCCTGGGACAAAAGTGACTGGCCAGCGTGGGACCAGAAGAAGGCTGGGAGCTTCCCGGACTCTTGTCAGACTGTGGCCTGGGCTCCCACTTAAAGAAAAGAGGTCCCCAGCACCAAAGAGAGGTCACCGTCCCCCAGATGAAGCCGCAAGACACTAACCAGCAGGCACGAATTGATGGAAGCACATAATGTAAAGGTTTCAGGACAGGAGGAGAAAATACCAAATAATAGGGCTGATTCTACCCAACGGGATTAAAATTCCTCCAATATTACTGTTTAAGTCTTTTTCCTCAATAGGCCTAGGATGTGTATTTTTCTGAATGTTCCCTTCTTTCTGACCAAAGATAATCCCATTCTAGACCATCAGCTTGTTTTTACTCAGGCAAGATTACTCATTATGGCCCATTCTCTCTCTCTCTCTCTTTTTTTAAAGATTTTATTTATTTATTTGACAGAGATCACAAGTTAGCAGAGAGGCAGGCAGAGCAGAGAGCCTGATTCGGGGCTCGATCCCAGGACCCTGAGATCATGACCTGAGCCTAAGGCAGAGGCTTTAACCCACTGAGCCACCCAGGCGCCCTGGGCCATTCTCTTTTATTGAGAGCTTATTCTGTGTCCCGTTCTTGACACACATTCCCCCACTTCACTCTCATACCCCAAGGCGCAGTTTTTACTCCTGTTTTATCGTTGAGAAAACAGAGATTCACTGAGGTTTCAAGTGACAGAATCACGTGGTCGCAAGGCCCCAGAACCCTGGTCTGGTCGACTCTAGGCTCACGTTCTTGGCGGTCATATTGGGTCACCCACCGAGGACCAGAGAGTTCCATGATGGGAATGTTACCTCCTGTTCTACAAGATTCTGAGGCTGAGAGATGCTTGGGAGGGTCACGCACCTGCCCACACTGAGGGGCTGCAAACACCAGCTTTGTGGGGCTGCTTTCTGCTTCTTTAGATTCTAGTGCATACAACAAACAACCTATGTTTTCCTAGTTGGGGACACATCCCAGCTGGCAACTTGCTACGGTGGGAGAAAAAAAGAAAAAGAAAAATCAAGGGGGATAGGACTTTAGCTCCTTCGGATCTTCACAAAATTGTACGTTTTGATAGCTTCCCCCCATTACTGAAGTACCACATGGCCCATACAAGTTTGGAATATGCCAAAAACGTAAAGAGAAGGAAAAAAATGACTCGTAGGACTCTCAACCAATGATTTGTGGGCAAACTTCCTTCTCTCTCTGAAAAAGTTGGAATTTTAAAAAATTATGGTCAGGATCACATTGTGTAAATATACTGATTTATTCGTGAGAAAAAGGTCATATTACATTTTTTTTTCAAAATAAACCACCTTTGGCTGCACCCTAATTTCCTTAACCAGCTCCCCAAGCGTGGGTAATTAAGTTGGGAGGAAGCATGTCTAAGCCCTTGCCCAGCTCATTTATTGTTTTAGGGTCTCAGGGATCAATTTCATTTTCCTTGGAGGATGGTTGGCGCCTAGCGTGGCGGCATTTCCCTGCCATGCGGCTTCCCAGGAGCTGCTTTCCCTATGCATAAACTCTCTCCACTCATTCCCCTCCCATTGCCCATGAACCTGGGCCTCCCACCAGTTTGGCAATAACCTCCACCTCCAGCCCTATGGAACCCACCCTGAGCTCTCGGAAGGCACCCACCTGTGTCCAGGGCTGTGACTTCCCGGCTTTACAGAAGGGAGGCCTCCACAGGGAGAGGCCAGGCCAGACTCTGCTCAGAATGCTGGCTTTTGGCCAACATCTCAATTTCCTGACTGTGGCACTTTGGGCCAAGATGGGCAAATACGGGGGGTGGGGGACGAGGAGTGGGGGACCGGGCAAACACGGCAGGGGTGCATCCGGGGATCTGAAGGCCAGAAGATGTGGGTTTGGATCCCAGTTCTCCTTTTGTGCTGTGGAAACTGAGCAAGGTGTTGAATCCCAGAGCCTGGGTTTCTTTGTTATTTACCAGAGGATAATTCCTTCCCTGTAGGGTTTTTGTGAGAGTTACATGACGTAATACAAGTGAACTTGTTGGGTCCGGTTTTGACCTAATCAAGGCAGTTAATAAAGGACTGAGATCATTCCCCACACCACCTCCCTACCCCCAGGGATTAGCATTCTGTTCCATTGTTCTTTATACCAACCATCTCTAGGAGCACCAAGGAGCTCTTGTTTTCAAAAGGCTTATCCTCTTGCAGAAAAAGTTCTCCAAAGCCATGGTGGGCCAGTCCAGTAGCCTTGAGGCTTTAATGGCCTGTGGCTCTGGCCAGATTTTGTGCAGATAAAGGGCTCCCTGCCCTATCCTGTTGATGGGTTCAAGGCCACTCAGCTTAGTTTAGGAAGAAAACAGGACAACAGAGGAGAAACACTCAAGGCTCCCTCCCTGTATCAAATTTCCGCATCTACTTGCTTAGATCAAATTCACAGGTGGAATAGGGTATGTATACCCACGTGGCCTCTGGGAGCATCTTGAATACCTGCTGGAAAATTCTGGCCCCTGCCTTCCACTCCAGGTCTGGTCTTTCCCAGCTCTGCTCCTTCAGGCTTGGGTCCCACACCAGACTCATCCCAGTGAAGCGGAAGAGAGGGAGAGGAGGGACTCGACATTATGGTTCAGATCCATCAAGTAACCCAGTGGTTTTGGAACTGTGCTGCCCGTTAGAATCACCCGTGCGGCTTTTATGGGTCCCTGATGCCCAAGCACACCTAAGATCCATTACATCAGAATATTGGGGCATGGGGACCGGGCACAGCATCAAGTTGAACGACATCTGGGAACCAGTAACTTAACCACTGCGGCTAATGAGCCTGGACCAGGTTTTTGTCTACCACAAAAGGGACTTGAGTCAGTCCCCCCACACCTCACTTTGGAACTTTCCGTGTGGAGCCAGGCACATGGCCAATGCTTCTGATGATAATGAAACCCCTCGATCTGCTCCCGATTAACTCCCAGAATAGGAAATATGGCGGCCAGTCCAAGATCACACACCTCTGTCCCCAAGTCATACATGACACGCATTTTATTGCAATAAAAAAGGTAATCTGTTAGCTGCCTGACTACAGCCACATCTGAGGCTACTTTTCAGAAAAACGGCATCAGAAAACAAATAGAGGTTTTCAGTGGCACAGAATGGCTGGATTCTCTCCCACTGGCCCATTAAGTATGAATCAGTGGCTCAGGCCGGTTCTGAGAAGGGCACCTAACTGCTGACTTCATAGAAAACCGGATTACTGTAATGTACCCACAACGGGGGTCTGTTCCTAGCCACCTCCTGGGCAGCCAGGCAGCAGCAGCCTGAACATGGAGGCGGTACCCGGTGCTTCTGGCCCACTGGCCCATGGCGAGCGAGCTCATGCTAATACCCGGCATGGGGGCCTACGTCAACGGCGCGGCCATCTGGGGCACATATGAGCAGACTCCCCGTGGGGCTGCGGTGCGCCCTGGGCCGGGTTCCAGCTGAGCTCAGAACCGACGTGCTTCTGCTACACCACGCAGCACATCTAACACCCTGGCGGAGGGTGGAGGTGGTGCTTCACCGGGAGCTGGCAACAGAGCTGGCCCGGCAGTGGGGACAACTGCGGAGGGACCCGCCCCGCCTGCCTTCGGGTGCAAAGCAGCTTCTGCAGACCATCTTGAATATTTGGACATGACCCCCATGGCTCCTCCGTCTAGCCGGAAAGCGAGGGGACCATCTGATACGATGCCCAGGCCTTCACCTGTCCAACACTGGCTGTCCTCGCTGCTCCCGTGCCTGTGGGTCCTCAGTTTACCGTCATGTCCCTGGAGTGTGCAATTTCTAGGAGTCAGAGCTCCCAGGCTGCTTGCCACGTGCATTCTCACTTGCTTCTCTTCTCGCCTTCCTGCAGACACCCAGGAAACACCCAGCAGTTCCTCTGGTGGCTTCCTCCAGCTGCTGCGGCTGCCCAAGTCCTCAGTCTCCGATCCTCTGCCCACACCCACCCTCACCCCTGCACCGGGCCCCACCGCACAGGCTCACCGCCCAAGCCTGACCAGCAGAGCGCGGAGGTAAACATTCAGGATGTCAGTGGCTGCCCCGCCCTGGGCCCGCACAGGCCTCCTTCCTCAGGGGCGCCCCCTGCAGTCAGTCCTGCACCAGGAAGTTGATGAGGGCTGTTCTGGGGGACAGGAAAGCCTTCTTAATGCTTCGCCCCTGCAAGAGCCTGGCACCCAGCTCGCTTTGGAGGACGAGCTCACGGACTTTGTCCTGGTCCTGCGCAACACCCTGGGGCACCGGGATCTTGCCGTGGTGTTTGTTGTTGATCTGAGAAGGAGAAAATCGAGACAAATGATGAGCAGCATCCTGAGGGTGACAGGTGGCCCCCAGGAAGATGCGGCACCAGCTTCCCCAGAGGACAGAGGGCAGCGATGATAGGAGTAATGCCTGAAGACCCCAGACTGGGAGAGAGAGGATGGGGGCGCCCCGGCACGGAGTGCATGTGTGTGGGCACCACACCTGGAGTGCGCTCTGTCCCAGCTGTGCTGGAAATCAGGTCAAAATCCTCAGCGGCTTCCAGGGGGCAGAGGGATGGTTGTGTCACTGGGGATCGACTCTAAGTTTTGCGCACAGCGAGTGTCACTGAAGATTTTATCTAGGTCTTGGCGGGGCACCAGCTCCTGGGGAAGGCAGGTAAACTCCCTGCCACAGGCCTGGTTCCAGAACGGTGTGAGTCTGGTGTGGGACCCGAGCCTGGGGACAGGGAAACTGGACCCACATCACTTTAACTCAGCCTTGCTGAGAACAGGTGGGTCCAGCTGCTGACATCAGTGGCTGTTCTGAGCACCGGTCAATAAGGACACGCTGGGGAAGGAGCTCTCAGGGCCCACACGGCTTCTGAACCTCCATGCTTCAAATCCTCCATCCCACCGCTCCCCTAAGAACTCTTTCACTAACGCCCCTGGTTTTTTTTTTGTTGTTGTTTTCTGTTTTTTGTTTTTAACTGGGAAAATACAGTCACCGTATAATGAAAAGTTACCAGCAATAACTTCTCAGGTTTCAACCGAAGCCTATCAGGTGTCCCTCATCACCCACTCCATTTTCTCAGATGCACGGAGAACTTAGTGGCATTTTTCTTGGTTGCATCAACTTACATCGCTGGGTGGGAGCCCCAAAGATGTCAACATGTTGTGTCCTGAAATATTCTAGAAAATGGTTCTCCTAAAAAAGTCCGAGTCTCTCGGATGCAGGGTTTTGGTGTCCTAGAGCTGTGGGACTAGGGCTGCTGTTCAAAGGACAGTGCCACCGCCCCCCACCATCTTGTTTCTAAGCCAACAGAAGCTGCCTTCTTTCAGGACCACGTGCTGGCTTTGACCAAGACCTCAAGACCTCCTGTCTTGTCACACCAAAGCCGTGCTCTTCGTGAAGTCCCGGGGGCCCCAAACACGGCATTCTTAGAACTGGTGCTTGTTCCCGAGTCGCGGCTTCAGCTTGGGCTCTCGGTTCTCAGTCGGGGAAGAGGGGCCCAGGGCAAGGGCTCCTCTGGGCGTCGGAGGAGAGAACACATGCTCTTGTGCAGACCCTCAGGCCTAGACTTCAGTTTTCTCTTCTTTAAGGATGGAATCCTCTGGATCACTGAGGGAGAAAACCTGTCTGAAGGGACCAGCTGACTAGGCCTTACGCGCCCGTATCCCTCGGGACTCCCGGCCACGATGGAAGGAGCCAGTGTGGGGTGTCCTCTTCCGTACACGGCCTTAGCACCATGATCCTAAATACTTCTAGACACAGTGCTTCCCTGGAGCCTGGGGGCTGACCTTCAGCTGTCGCTGGGGAGACCTGTCCAGGGAGCGGAGTCATTCCTGACCCCAGCTGGGGCAGGGGTGGGGCTTGTGGCCTCGGGATATGTCCAGGGAGCCCAGCAGGCCTTCCCACGTGGCCCCGGGGACCCTCTCCTGGCTTCTGGCTCCTGGGACTCCCCCAAGTTGCCTTACTCAGGGCAGGCCCCTCAGAGCGAGTGGGTCCCCATCATGCTGCATCTCCGGGCACGAGGCACCAGTTAAATGGACAACCGAAGCCCAGGTGGGATTCCACACTGGACTTGGCCTTCAGGGGCCTAAAGGGAAAGCAGCTCTTTCAAATCACCTCAGATAGTGGCCATCTGACTTGAGAGAAGTCTTCCAGTCCCCATCTGGTGGCCCTGCAAGCTTCCATCTCTGCCACCTCCTCTCATTACTCACAGCGTCGGGCCAAGGCCTCAGTACTGTTCTCCCAGACTTTTCCAAATGCTGCCTGATGGGCCGCTGGCAGAGAGCACTGCCCCCGCCCCAACCATGGCCACCCAGTGACACAAGGGGCAGCCCTGTGACAGCTGTGGACAATGAAAGCTCCCGCTGACTTAGCTCTCACTTCGTGCCCGGGTCTGAGCCACTTGATCCACCCGAGCCAACCTGTTTCTCCTCCCACAAGCCTGTGAGGGACAGGCATGACGGCTCTGTGCCCATTTTATAGACGGGGAAGCCGAGGCACACAAGGTGAAGACACTTCACCCAGCCAGTGGTGGAGATGGGATGGATGACCGCCTGGGTCCTCTCCTCTCCCTGGTCAGATGCCCTGCCAGTCCCCCAACCCTCTCAGGGGTGGAGCCTGGCCTTCTCCCCAATGGCCTATGCTCCCCTCTCCATGGCTCCCAGTCCTAGCATCACTGAGGGCTTTCCCTGCCTTTGCTTCTGCTGATCAGGCATCCTCCCACCAGGGAAACACTGCTCCTCGAGCCCAGGCCCCACACCCCCTTGCGGTAATGGCCCCGACTTCCAGAAGCAGAGATGTCCACACTAGTAGCTGGGGACCCTGCCATCTCCCCCGGGGCTTGGGCCCCCTTCTGCCGCCCTTCCCTCACCTGTAAAACGGACTTGGTCACACAGCTGCCTCGTCTGTGACATGGGTAACCCAGCCCACTCCCAGGGCTGTGGTGCGGGGTCAACGAGTCAGTATCTGGAAAAGTTCTTAGGGCAGTGCCTGGCCCTTAGTCGGCACTCACTGCTTGTTCGTGGGTTTTGTCATTAGAGCGTCCAGAAGCAGGCCAAGCAGCTCCTGGCAACGTCTGATCTAATTCTTTCCACAACAGGCAGAGCTGGGCGCAGTGCTTGCCTCCTTTCATCACTGAGGAAACAGAGGCCTACAAAAGTATCTTGTAAAATGGGAGACTTCCAAGCAGGACAGTCTCATTCCCAAGCTCCATGCCTTAACCTGAAAGTTACAGAAACTGCCCGTGCGTGTGCCCATCATGAGCCCTTTACACCGTCCCTCCTGGGCACTGAGCTGGTCAATGCTGAGGCAGCGCCTCTGAGCTGGGGACCCCCAGGGCTGGGCCCAGCCCTGCATACCACGGGCACAGAGAACACGGACATGGCAACCCGAACCACGCGGAATGACACCATACTGTCACCACACCTGCTATTTCTGCCCAGGGCACCAACCGAGATCACATGGACACAGAACACAGGCCGCCACGGAAGTTCCGCCACGGGGCACGGTGCCCCGAGCTAGAGGTTCTCCCCATGGGGGAACCCGCAGGGCATCCTACTCACAGCCTAAACTTCGGGTTTTCATTTCCACGATAATCTGAAACCATTTTACCGACAACCAGAACGAGATGTCTTTTCTGCAGCGACTAAAGCAGAACGGTATTTGATAGGCTCCAACTTCGTTTTCTCAAGTTAGCACTTCCTCACGCTGAGGACGAGTTCTCAGGGGCACCCGAGATCATTTCTTATAAACGTTATTTAAGGTAAAGAAACTTCTCTGTGTCACCAGGCTATTTTTGGTTTTGAAGCTTTGGGGAAGGAGCCTACCGGGGCAGGCCCACGTCCTCCCCTCCTTGGGGGGAGCAAAGTGGGGTTGCAGTGGGGGAACGAGGTGTCAGGGGAGGTGGTGTGGAGAGAAAGCGGCTGGGAAGGGTCCGGGTCTCCGCGTGGAGCCGTCTTTCTAAACACCAACCTGCAGCCTGGGCCCAGGGTTTGCACAGAGGCAGAAGAGCTGGGGACTGGCCGACTGGGCCCCTGTGAGGCTGGGCTCACCCTCAGCTCCTGGGTGGTGTGGTCCTGGCCCTTTTCACCATTTGCAGTGGTTTTATTTATTTTTCTTTCCTTTTCCCTCTCCCACTCGGCTTTTATTTTTCTTTCCTTTTTATTTATTTATTTTTATTATTTATTTTATTTATTATTATTATTTATTAATTATTATTATTATTAATTTTATTTATTTATTTTTATTACCTTTTCCCTCTCTCCCACTCGGCTTTCGGCGCCATCAGGGCAGGGAGGCTATCTGTCCTGTTTGATCTTTGTACCCACCAGAGCCTGGCACCGTGCCTGATGCACAGCAGGTCACGTGATCATTACTGACCAATGAGCAAATCACCTCAGGACCAGCGACCAACTTCTCCAAGCCAAATTTCTCAAGTGAAATCAATGAGAAGGGAAACTCCTACCTGACCGAGTGGTAAGAGTTCAATGAAATCTTGGATGTGAAGGGCCTGGCCCCACGTGTGGTTCAGAGATGGGCCAAGAGGGCCCCGTTTCCCTTTCCCTCTTCAGACACGTCAGCATTAAAAATTCCTGATAATGTGTTTCAGAGTAAACACATTAAAGATGTAAAAATTACATAAAGGATAAACTATCTGAGTTATGTGCTCTGTAAAAGGTTGGAATATAAAACTACTTTTATGCATCTGTAATGACGTAATTTACCAAAAAAAAGAAAGAAAGAAAGAAATTAAAGAAAAAAAAGGAACATTCTGGAGCTGTTCTGAAATAGCTTTCCCAGTGAGGTGTTCCCTCTCCGCCAACCACTCACCATCCCCCTCCTCCCTAAACGAAGCAAGAGCTGAGGAGGAGACTGGAACGCTGAGGGAAGAGGGCAAGGCGATCCGAACTTCTGATGTGGGGCAGGGTTATGTCACAGACTCGCAGTGCGTGGTGACCCCTCAAAGCCGAAATGTACGAGCGTAAGACAGGCGGGGAATGGTCTGGCCGAGTCAGGCCGGGTGGGCTAGAAAGGCCTGACCACCTGGCTGTGGGGGACACTCACCAGGACGGCCATCTCCACCACATCCGGCTGCTGAAGGAACTGCGGGTCCACAGCCGGCCAGGCCTGCAGCAGCACACCGGCATCCCAGGCGTAGTGGGCACACAGCTTCCCAGGAACCTGCGCCAGGCCTGCAACATCAAGGCACAGTCGGTGAGGGCACACACGAGGCTCATGGGAGCAGAGTACACAGCTTTTGCCCCAATGCAGCCTGGCTTGGAGCTGCCCGGGGAGGCTGCACCTCGGCTTTACACAGCCTACTGGGGGCCCCCACTTACGTTGGCCTGGCTTATCATCTGGGCTTAGGGGTACCCCCTCCCCATTTAAACAGTACCCAGAGCTGTAGAGATGGATGGACACTTGGTTCTAAAGTGTGCATTTAGGGGGGACACCTGGGTGGCTCAGCTGGCTAAGCGTCTGCCTTTGGCTCGGGTCATGATCCCTGGGTCCTGGAATCAAGTCCCGCCTCGGGCTCCCTGCTTAGCGGGGAGCCTGCTTCTCCCTCTCCTTCTCCCTCTCCCTCTGTGCTTTCCCTCCCTCTCTCTCTCTCTCAAATAAATAAATAAAATCTTTAAAAATCTTAAAAAATCTTTAAAAATAAAAACCAAGTGAGACTCGGAAAAAGCAAGGCTGCTGATTTTCCTTGGTCTCTGCAGTTCTGCTGATGAAGGCACGTCTTTGTGCTCCTGAGAGTGGCTCCCAAAATAACGAGCCACGCTCACTTCCTTTCCTGCCTATGAAGACTTGTGGTCTGCGAGGGCCTCCTAGCTGGTCCTTTCACTCACAATCACGGGTGCCAACATGCCGGGAACAGCAAGGATCTCAGCCTTCACACTACGCTTCTTCTCAAGAGGGGCTGCCAATGGCCTTGGCTCAGGATGGATCAAATGTGAGGCAGCAGTGAGGAAGGAAACCCCCAAGAGCCTTGTGTCCTACAGTGTTTCATGCTGCAGCCCCCAAGCTGAGGCGGCCGTACTCAGCATCCACAAGGCTGTACGGGAACTCCAGGGGACTTCAGCCACGGGGCTGCTCGCAGGGAATGTTTTGACTGCAAAGCCTCCGCTGATCCCATGAGCACAAGAGATGACCCCAAAATGTGCAGGAAATACACCCATCAGAAAACCGTGGACACATGCCCCTGCCTCCTCATCCTCCCAGAGGAGGGCCCTAGGCCGGGGCTGGCAGTGAACGTGGCGGCGTGCCCAGGCTGGGGCAGAGCCATGGCCGGTGCATGGCCTTCATCTTGTGAATGGCTTTTCCAGGGGTGGGAGAGAGGGGATGGTGGTGGCCCTGCACCCCTCCCCCCTGAGCCCAGGAGATGCATTTGAGGGAGGGGCCCACGCCTCACGGGTGGTCTGAGGCCAACTGCAAGACGGAGGGACCAAATCCCAACCAAGGCCAGTGCCTGGAACACTGGGGCTGGGACTGACAACGTTTTCTTTTCCTTGAGGGCAAAAGTAATGCATGCTCCTTGCAGACAATTTATAAAAGGTCAAACTAGAGAGAAGAAAATCACGTTCACCTGCATAGCATTTTTTAAACTTCTGATTTTTTTTTTCAAAAGATTTTAATTATTTATTTTGAGAGAGAGAGAGCAGAGAGAGAGGCGGAGGGAGAGAGAGAATCTCCCGCAGATTCCACATGGGCTCGGCCCCACGACCCCGAGATCATGACCTGAGCTGAAATCAAGAGCCAGACGCTTAACTGACTGAGCCACCCAGGTGCCCCTAAACTTCGGATTCTGAAGAACAGTAATGCATTTAATGAACAGTGTATAACGCAACCCCACCAAACTGAACCACTACCACCAAGATCATGCTGTATATGTAGTTTTGTATTCCTTTTGTTTCGTTATTTTAAAATAATAGTGAATTTCACGGAAAAGGAGGATATGCAGTAGCAGGCATCATGTGACCCTAGTTTTATTAAATATTTCTACGAACGGGTAAAAGGTCGGAGAGAAGAAAGCAGAAGGGCATCGGTGATTCTACTCAGGAGACGGAATCATAGGTGATTCTTCCTCTTAAAGCTTTATAAACTCTCTGCAAAAAACATTTATTATTTTGGTCATTTGAAAAGACATTTCGAAAGCAAGTTTTCCCACACTGTGAGATGGGTTCACGATTTCTCTTCTGGTTTCTTTTGAAGGCTACATTTTGTTCCCCGTTTCACTTTTGAACCCAGACTTGTTTCATTTTGTGCGTGAAGTGAGGGAGCATTGGGGCGCCTGGGTGGCTCAGTCAGGTAAGTGTCTGCCTTCGGCTCAGGTCATGATCCTGGGGTCCTGGGATCGAGTCCTGCATCGGGCTCCCTGATCAGCAGGGACCCTGCTTCTCCCTCTCCCCCATCCCCTCCCCCTGTTCTCTCTCTCTCTCTCTCCAATAAATAAATAGAATCTTGAAGTGCAGGAACATTACACGGCCAATTTTCCAAACCTAATTCGGAGCGCAAACCTTCTCTTCCCTATCGGTTTGTGATGTTTCTTCTACACTATCTTGTACCAGGGGTGGTTTCAGGACCATCCACAGCTGCTACACGAAACTGCTCAAGGTGGTCATCCACGACACGTGGGCGCACAGGCCGGAAGGTGGACGGACACACCGTTCCCTTGAGAGAGTCTTTGTGCCAAAAAAACGGGTCAGCCTCACTCGGATGTGTGCTCTGTGACACAGCAGATCTGCGTTCTGAGCTCAAGCTGCTTATCTCATTGGTAGATGGTTACAGCTGGTTCCCACACCGGGTCCACGGCCCCCTCTGAGCAGCACCGAGCTGCTCCACTCTGGGACCTCTGTCCTGATTCCCGGGCTAGTGTCACAGATGTCGGTGTGGCCCGTTCTGTGTTTCCTCTCTGGCACTCTCGTCGTAAGCCTATGCTGAGAGTCCGTCTGTGGGGAGGGAAGGCCCGTCAGAGTCTGGGGATCGAGTGGTGTCCGAGATGTATTCCTGGGCCCCAGCTGGCCCCTGTGCCCTGGGCTTCCAGAACTTACTAAGGAAGCTATTCCATTGCTAATAAGCTGTTTGGCCAGAACCGAAAGGAGCTTCCTGCTCGGTCCTCAGAAAGGGCACCATGACGACTCCCATCTAAATACGAAATGGGAGGTCACAGAAGGGAGATAATTGTTTCTATTCTTCAACAGGCTGGCCCCGTAAGGCTCGTCCTGTGACCCAGCTGCCGTGGGAAGGATTCCAGAACCTCCACATGGTCATCGTACAGGACACCTCGGAGATGAGAGGGCCTTGGACACAAATGTTTTGGGCAGAAGCTGTTGCAAATTCCACTTAAAAAAAAAAAAAAAATGAGGAAGCCCGGCCTTCCTGGAGCAGCCCGGATGCTTATTTATAGGGGCCTGGGTCCCTGCCAGAGTTTGCATGTAGACGGGAGCGGGGCCGTCCTGCTCAGCGGGGCGGAACAGAAACTCCCAGCTCCGGGTTCCCTACCAACTCTGTAGGGAAGGAAAAACACCCAACGTTTGCATCGCAGATACGATGGTGTCTTTACATGACATGCGCCAGGTTGAGAGCTGGCCTTTGGACAGCACCTGGAGAAAGTCTGACCGTGGGCTGGGATGCGTCAGGGCCCCGGTGCTCAGGGCCACCACCCAGGGCCGGCTGTTGCCTGTGGCCTCCCCGTTCCTGCCCCTCCTCTGGGAGAGCTGTTGTCGTCAGACCTTCCTCGGAAACGACCCCTCTTATGCTCCGAGAGCTGGGGAGGTCACCATGCCACCGTGGCACCCTGGAGCAGGTGCTGGGACGGGCTTAGTGTCTGGGGATGGCAGCCTCTCTTGCTGGCCACCAGTGGACCTGCTTCTACCCTGCACCCCTGTGCTCGTGCACGCGCACGTGCACACACACACACACACACACACACACACACGGCTGGACTTGGGGACTCCACTGAGCCTCATCCAGCCCTGGTGATTAAAAAAAAATGGACAGGATAGGAAGTTGGCTCCTTTCAGCCTTTACCCGCCGAAGGAACTCCACGGATGTTATTTTGAGATAACGACACTGACGCCACACACATACTCGTACGTAAAATGCCATCTGGATGTCAATGAGAACTTTTGCGCTGCAATGATCACACACATACCCCTACACGATTTGTATGTTTGTAATTGTGCTGGAATTAAGGGATACGGCACATATGTACAGCAAAACATGAAGCTACGCTACTTTCATTTCACAAAGAGAAATGGATTGGAGGCAGCAGCCTGATGGTTTGGGATAACGAGTCCATTCTGAATGCCTCAGGGGGTGCCCCTTGCTGTCGCCTCACAATTACAGTGCTGATGGGAGACCCGGAGCCCGCACCAGGTAAAGCCTGAGGCAGGAATCCAGACAGAAGGAAGTCACTGCACAGCCATGAGAGGGGCCAGAAAGACAGAAACAGAGACCTTACCCCCACACTGTCAAGAACTTGTATTTTGGACAAGAGGCTAAACTCAAAGCAGCACAAGAAGTAGCAGAAGAAGGACAAGCACCCAAGTGTCCACGAGTAGAAGACGACTTGACTTCTGGAACATCGCAGGGTGGCACACAACGTGGCTGATAAGAAAGGGTCCGGCCAAAGTACCGACATAGAACAACTCCAAACACAGAGCGAGAAAACCATTTGTATGGCGGGCCAACATTCGCATTAAGAACAGATGCGCACTGAAGACATGAACAGAAATTTCTGCAAAGAAGACATCCAGATGGCCAACAGACACATTTAAAAGGTGCTCCACATCACTCGGCATCAGGGAAATACTAATCAAACCCACAACGAGATACCACCTCACACCAGTCAGAACGGCTAAAATTAACAAGTTTGGAAACCACAGATGCTGGCGAGGATGCGGAGAAAGGGGAACCCTCCTACACTGTTGGTGGGAATGCAAGCTGGTGCAGCCACTCTGGAAAACAGCATGGAGGTTCCTCAAAAAGTTGAAAATAGAGCTACCC